TTCACGCGTGTCCTCCTTGCGCAGCTGCCATGCTAATCTTCTCTCTCGGTATCATTCCATTTTTTTTTTCCAACGCATGTCCCAAAGGACTCTTCCATCTTTTTACTTAGTATCTTTTCTTTTTTAATATATTTTATAATATATTTTATCATCTATTTTATAATATCTTTTATAACATATTTTATAATATATGTATATATATTGTCACACTGTATATATCGTCACACTGTATATATACATCAACAGCTTGGATGATTATACAGTAGAAGAAGTGGGACGTACCTCTTGTAGCAATTCGTCGAGCGACACGAAGGACTCCCCCGTGGTCGGCGGCGACGTTTCCCCGCTACCGGTCGCAGCCGCTACCCGAGAAGAGGAAGAGGTGGCTATGGCGGCGGAGTAGGAGAAGAGAGAAGGATATGGAGGAAGAAGAGAGGGAGAGAGAGGAGAATACTGGCGTGCAAGCTTGGCCTTCTCGTCGGAGAAACACACAGCGGACCTGACGCGGCGCGCAGCGGCGGCGGCGGCGAGGCCAGCGCAGAAACGAGCGGAAGAAAAGCCGGCGCAAATACCGCAAGTCCCCACAGCAGGGGAATGAGGGGGAGCGGAGGAGGAGGAGGAGGAGGCGGAGGAGGAGGAGGAGAGAGTCGCAGCACCGACCCTCAGAGTCGAGAGATTGACCAGCCGGTCGCTGGCATCGTGACTACTGGTCGCACAAACAGTAGGTGCTGCGACCAGCCGCGCGACCTGGGCGGCAGCCGCGGTCGTCATCTCCCTGGATGCGCAGGCGAACGCGAGGCGGAGCAACCTGCGCGGCAGAGCGCCGGGAAGCGCGCCGCAGCTGGACGGTCGTCGTGCGACCGCTTCCGCCGCTGTGCGGGAGCGCGCGGCAGTTTCCGACAACCAGTGAGTCGCCCCCCAACCACGCATGGGGACACAAGCACCGACCACATGCACCAGAACAGCTCCCAGAGATCAACGAAGGCCTGCAGATCGAGCCACGTGGCGACAGCGGGATTGCTGCTGCCCCTACTTCCGCGCGATCCAGCAGATCAGCGGAGAAACATGCGCCGCCGCTGCTATGAGTATCACCCACCGCGCGGCGCAGCCGCGATCTACCCCGCGCGCACGAACGGAACGACGACAATGGTGCAGCCACTGCCGTCGAGCTCCGTCCGCCACATGACACAAAATCTGTTGAAAATGGAATTGAAAATAACGCGTGTATCATCACGTAAAAACCGGCCCAATACACACGACATAACTTTCGAAGACTCCTCGTATCTGGACGGTAAACTGGGGCAGTACACGCGCCATTTTCTCACCAAAGGCACGTAAGTAAGTAGGTCTACCTACCGTCGTCCCCCGAACACAACGCACCCTCATTTTGGCTGTATCTGGCAGGAAATGGCCTGTATACATTCATTTTTAGGGTGCGTTATGTTCGGGGGAAGACGGGTAGGCATTCCACCTGTCGTGCGGATCCAGTTGATGTCCGATGTCATCACACTGGTTCACAGCCGAGGTGCTTCCCGACGGAGTCAGCACTTGACGTCAATCCGATGTCTCTACATAGTGGATCCGAAAAAAAGAAAAAAAAAAAACGAAAAAGGACTGACGTTAGGCAGCAGAAAGATCGGACACCTCGCCCATAAGTATGAGGGTTGGACACCACTGCCAACAGTCTTCCCGCGAACAACTTGCACGTCCGTTATTTACGAATAGAACGCATGGGGTACGTTGTATTCGTATACAATGCACGCTTTATGCTACAAATATAGTGTATCAACTTCCCAAAATGCCCTCCGCCCCTCACTCTCCCCGCCCCCCCCCCAAAAAAAAAAAAGAAGTTATGTGCCTCGTACAGGTACCTCCAGTCTTCCCGCAAACAGGACCTTCAGGTAGACACAGAGAGAGAGAGAGAGAGAGAGAGAGAGAGAGAGAGAGAGAGAGAGAGAGAGAGAGGTACCTCCAGTCTTTCTGCAAACACTGGCAGGACCTTCAGGTAAGGCACACGCACAGACACAGAGAGAGAGAGAGAGAGGGTGGAATACTGCAGGGTGCGCACATGGAAATGAGGGCTACACTGCAGACAGGCAGGTGTGAGTTCAATTTGAATAGAACACCTGTCTGTTCGAATAGAACAAAAGTGTCTACTATTTGAATAGAACGTACATTCGGACTATTTGGATTTCAGGGGGCAACTTCAAGAAATCGGCTTTTTCAGGGGAAGTTGAACATACGTGCGTTTTGCTCAGGGGAAGACTGTGGCGATAGCTTGGCGCCTAGAAAGTTGCAAACCATCCGCCAGCCCAAGTCGTTGCTAACCGTAATGGGGCAGAGAAAAGGGACTCCACCACATCCGGTTACCTTATCAGGAAGACTTGCCCTTTTCGGCATGTTTGTCTCCGCGTTTTTAGCACACCAACCAATCCCCGTGCCTCCTTTCCGCACTGAATGGCGGAATCTAGAGGGTAGCCCTCAATCTACCCTATAGGCCTGGACCCAAAGCACTCGCATGTTGTTTGGGACTCCATTGGTGCAAGCACTTTCGTTTCTACTTTGTCAACGTCCGCCTTTTCAGGACAACATCCAATCCCTGTTTTTCCTATCCGCACGGATGGCTGAATCTAGAGGGTAGTCCCCAGGCTACCCTTTGGATTCAGCCATCCCGTGTGGAAATGATGCACGCGGATTGGATGTTGCCCTTAAACCACAGGTCCCCCCGCCACCAAAAACCCTCGGACGACCTGTATGTCGAGCCTCGGACGACCTGTATGTCGAGCCTTGGACGACCTGGATGTTCCCCAGTACTTGGCCCAGCTATTGAAGCCGAGCCTGAATTTCCCCTGCGTGCCGATTTTCGCCGAGCCTGTGTCGTTTCGTGCAAAAACTCGGTACCAGTACCGGTACCACGTTTTGGCACTTCGGCCTGAATGCAGGTCCATCTGAACGGACATCTTCCAATCCGTTCGTATGGGCCGCCGTGAAATGCACTTCGGTTCCATACAGATGAGTGTTAGTTTTTTTTTTTTTTTTTTTTTCGTTTGGTGTTATGGGTTTCCATACAGTCGCCGTGCGTGTGCTGTTCCCTGCGGATGCCGCGTGGCCTTGGCCGTCCGTTCCCGCCTCCACCTTCATCGTGTCCTCCTACCTGGCCGTCTGAGGTGTATACCGTTGCGATCGTCCCAAACCCCGCGTGGCCAACATACACGACATTCATCACGATGGCAATGTATCTTTCCCTGTTCTACGGGTGGATTCACTGTCATTTCATACTTTTAGAAAACAGTGAGCCTATGCCCTATCTCCCATACGAGATGTTCTATTGTTCTCTCTCTCTCTCTCTCTCTCTCTCTCTCTCTCTCTCTCTCTCTCTCTCTCTCTCTCTCTCTC